AAATAAAATTAGATTATGATGAGAAAAAGAATATATATAAAAAAGAAGTTAAATAAAATTAGAAAAGGAACCAGAAATAAAGAAAATAAAAAAAAATGAGTTAAATGGAATTAGAAAAGGAACAAGAAATAAAGAAAAAAAAAGAAAAAAAAAAGAAAGGAGTCAAAATTGAGTGTGAAATAAGTTATGGTAATAATAATAATAATAATAATAATACGATTTGGGCAAAAATAAATAAATAGAAAAAAAGAAAAAATGAGAAATAAAGAAAAGGAGAAAAAAAGGAAAAAAAAAAGAAAAGAAGCATAAAAATAAAAAAGAATTGGGGAAAAAAGAGAAAATTCCTCATAAAAACTACTATGGATAAAAAATGTAATTAGTTTGATGGATAAAAAAATAAATGATAAATAAGGATAAATAATTTTGTTTTTGTGGATAACTGTGTCATTCACCCTTTCCACTATGCTCAGTCCAATCAAAGTTGGTCTTCTCTTTTCTCATTCTTCTTTTCTTACGAAGAGTTTCAAACATGGACAAATATTACAAGCAAGTGTTTTACTAAATCTTATGACTATTTGACATTTTCGTGAAATTCAGTAAGTGTTTTATCCTCTCAATGTAGGATTTTTTGGCGCGAATTTCGGTTAGACCCCAATACAAACACAAAATACCTAATGGGAAACCTAAAAAGAAAAAAGAAATTTAGCCCCAACTACTTTTACTTTTGTGACGTTCTCACACTCTTTACATCACGCATGTCTTGTACTTTGGCATAGAGATGGGCAGAGTTTGGGCAAACTCGAAATTCAAACCGAAATCTGATTTTTTTGAATTTTTGGTTCGGATTTTCGGATTACAGTTTAGATTTTGGATTTAATTTTTAAAATTTTTGAATTTCGGCTTGGTTATTGGATTTGGTACTTCGAATTTTTGTATATCTGAAAATCTGGAATTCTTATACTTTATATTTAGTCCATTATTCATATATCAATAGTAATAAGTTCAATACCCTACCCATTAGATATTATCTAATATATTCAATATTAATTACTATGTTACTATGAGAATACTTTCTATTTGGACATGATTTTACTATTTCTACTTCTTATCGGCCGTATTAATATCTCTATTGTATTTTTTTTTTATAGTAATTTCATTACTTGAATACTTCGTTTGAATGATCGATGTGAGAATGAGGAACTTTTCAGGCAATTTAACAAGAGTACTTTATTTGAATATTCATGTTTGTAAAAAGAAAAAACATCTCAACTTATAAGCTCGAAACCGAAAATCCAAAATATCCAAACCGATTAATTCGAAACTGAACTTCCGACCCAATCCGAATTATTTGGATTGGATTTGAATTGTCATTTCTTCAATTCGAAAATTAAAAATCCAAACCGAAATTTTCAAATGCAATCCGAACTTCCCCGAACGACGACCCTTGCTTTTGCATGACTTACTCCTAATGGAAAGTATTTGAACATTCACGAATAATTTTTTCTGATATGATTTCTTTTTTTCTTTTTTGAGGCGGTGAGGAATTTTCTTATGTATATCATAAATAAAACATGAACTCTTTAAATACTACTATAATTCAACATCCACTGCAAAACCAAATAATTGAAGGTAATCTTAAACAATTAACTATCTTATACAATTTGAACAAGAAGCAATATACATTTTCTGACGTATGAAATAGGGCCTAGCACATGCAGTACTCATTTGGGAGTGATTCCCAGAGAATATTATCTTAGGAAAAAAGGCAGGTTATTATTCATAACACTCATTGATGTCGTACTTTTCAAACTTACTTTGCTTTTAATTAGAAACTAGGCCAGTCAATCATGTCTTAGTGAACTTGCTGTCTACTACTAATTTAATCATTTAAATATAAATATGATTAGCAAGGTGATCACTCCCAACTCTAGTCCTAAAAAAGATAAGCGATTGCTGCAAATATAATTCGGTCTAAAAGTCTGGAGTCGAATCTCACAGAGAACTAAAGTTTAGCTACAACTGTTCACTATCACCAAGAAAACAAGCTTGAACAATTCCTAAATTATAAATATTACAATTATTATGTCAAACTAAGTAACTAACAATTAAAATAGTAAATTAACAACCAAAGATACTAAGAGTAAGAGACAAGATTAAGAAGTTCTAGAGTTATATTTTTTTCAATTGTCGGAATCCTTCCTACTATGTCTCATATAATTTCGCCTAATTATTCTCTACTGATCGTGAGCATTTCAGGTGTCGTAATTCTCTCTCGAGCAACTACAACAATTTTGCTAGACATATTCTCCCGAACTACGCTAGCTGGCACAATCTTACCGCTCACTATGACCACGTCAAGACTTTGTTATTCCTAAACCCACCTTTAAACCTGCCGTATTGATTCCTCATATACGTTAGGAGTGACGTTGTTCAATAACTATCTAACTATGTACCCTTTCACAAGCAATACATAATAAATAGGCACAGTCAATTGATGATCATTCAATCAACAAAAATAAGCACGCAGATAAACAAGTAAAGAAATCCAAAGGCTAAATTATATTCAAACTTAACAAGAATTCATCCTCCAAAAGATTCCATCAAAACCCGAAATAATAAATTAGCTACTCATAGTGGTATGTGAAAATACAATGCTAAAATTTATAACCAATAATAGAAAATAGGAAGAAAAGAAAAAGTCAGTGGTTGAATCTTGTTCCTTAGTGTATTCTTGCCTCTAAGGTGTTGTGTAACCCTAAAGTAGTGTCTCCTCTCCAAAGTTATGTAAAAATCATGTTTAACGTATATTTATATGATCTAGGTAGGGTGGAGGGCAGTCCGATACAATCCAATCTCGGATAGGAGAGCTGGAATTTGCGTCTTCCTTTGCGCGTGGCGCGCCCATGGACTCGGACTCAGCTTTCGCAATTGTCCAGCTCGCGAAGCGATCCGTGCCTTCGCTTCACTTCACTATTTTGTGTCTTCAGTTTTTTTTTTTTTTTTTTTTTTTTTTTTTTTTTTTTTTTTTTGCGTCTGTTTTCGTGTCACACACGAGATTGGACGAGATCCCAATTCTTTTCATCTCTTCCTGTTTGTTATCTTTTGATCATTTATCATCCAAACTCGTTCCTACACATAAGAAACATAATGAACATATTTCACTTCAAAAATCATGTAATCTTCCGCGACTCACACAAGAATTAATATGTAAATATACTAAAAAATATGCATTTTTCATCATTTATCACAAGCCATCGTTCCGTTCTGAAGTTACACCGTAGATAATTCATCACCTTAGCTTTTTCGTACGTAATTACCTAGTGCATAAAAGTTAATTAATCAAGAAAAATAACACTTAGTAGTTATGCCTTTTCGGATAAACTCTGTTTGAACATTATTTACTATTTCGTAAATGACCAAAAGTTAGTTGATATCTATCTTCACGTAATTGGATTAAATTTTTGATGCATGCATCTATAACTTGTTGTAACACACGCTAAAACATGCAAATATATACTGAAAGTTGCTTCAAAAAGTTAGAGACAAGGAAATTAAAACCATTATAACATGATTATTTTAATCAAATCTTTGAATTCAGTTTCTAAGTGAATATCATGGTACGAGACATGATTATTACTTGGAAGTTAATGAAACAATCTGAATAAACAAATGTAGTTGGAAAGGACAGCAAAAGCCCATACATATGATTTGGTCACATGGTTAAAGATTTGAGACATCATCTTTTTCCTTGTCATGAATATATATATATATATATATATCTCTTCTTATAGCCAGACTTAAGCAAAATACAAAAGCTTTGTGTTCTGGAAATTCCAATATCAAAAGAGAAAGAACAATAATGTACACTAACAGTAAAAGGCCTTCTTTTCAAAGAGAGAGTTTTGTTATACAAGTAAGAGGTAGTAGTGCTGAAATATCCTCAGAAAATTTTCAATCTTCTAATAAATTGATCAATTTCTCAGCTATGAAGCTTTTTGATCGCTTCCGAAAGATTGTTTTGCGCTTTGTTTTTCCGATTCCAACGTCCGGCCGGAGGAGGCCGAATCGAGCTCAGGGAACGATGGCCTCCGGGCCGGGCTCAGGACAAAGGCGGAGGTCATGTGATAGGCCCGACCCGCCCAAGACTTCGTGTAGTTCCTATTATTCATCATCTTCTCATTATAATGAAGCTATTGCTGATTGTATAGAGTTTTTCAACAAGTCTTCACAAGATCAGGGAATTTTCAGTGGTAGAAAATCCGACGTTATTGTGTAATTTTGTTTATCTTTGAAAGGTATTACTATATGCAACCTTGCTTGGTGCTTGTGTTGGCTTTTGAATTTTGAGCGTTCGAATGATCCCATGTTGTAAATTTATGCATATATAGTTGTCGCACATGTGGAATATCTTCAGGTTTAATTATAGTAACAAATTTGCTTGTCTAAATCTTAACTTGAAGACAAGGTACTCAAGTCTCTCTATAACAATATCGTTTTTTTTTTTGCTTTTATAGTAAATAGTTATTACACATATAACAATATTTATCGTTTAAATTTTTTTTGGTTGTTACAGAAAAAAATTATCCAAAATATAACTTTTTCCCCCTTTTAATGTTATATATAAAAAGATAATTTTAAGTTAAAATCTCAAAATATATGCATGCTCACTATTTATGTAGAAAAAAATTACTATATTATTATTAAATTCATAACTAAACGTACAAAGATTTAAACTCTAACGCACACATTTCAAAGCTAAACTACTAGAAACTAAATTCTTTAAGTATTTTAATAGACTTAAATAAAATATTTAATTATGGAAGTTAATACTAATGTATATTTTTATTATAACTGGTGTATTATGGTTTTAAAAGATTTGGTCAAATTAATATCTTTAGATTTACTTATTGTTATATAAGTATGTTATTATAGAGAAGTCTGACTGTAATTGATATTTGTAAAACCCATTCTCTGTTCATTAGTACAAGAAGCGAAAGGAACTACATATCATTCAAGTAATAATACAACATTATTGAAAAATTTACACAAAGAAACACATCTATATAACTCACACGGTGTGGTTTACAAGTTATACTGTATAGTGAGCAGATTATAGTGCGCATCCGAAGAATAGTGGCTGAAGGTATCCCTGAGAATTTTTCCCAATAAAATAAAATAAAATCACACTGTGATTCTAAACAAAATTATTGAAAATTTATCGGCTATATATAGTATTGAATTGCCTTACTCCTCGTGATTTGCATATCAATTTGTTCGAGCTGATTAAATATCAGAATTACTACGCTTCTTCCTAGAAAAAATTCCTCCTATAAGTGGAATAAGAGGGATTTTCTTCTTCTTCTTCTTCTTGTTCTTGAGAGAAGGATGCATTTGTAAGAACACCATAACTTGTTCTTTGGATTTTTGCTCAAATTTTAAATTCTCAAGCTCTTTTCTTGTGCGTTCAAGTTCTTCTTCTAAAGAAGAGAGACAAGTAACCATTACAAATCTTTCTTCTCGTGCTTTTTCTAGTCTTTGCTTTGTCTCTTGCAGCTCTGTAGTTACTGTTCCAAGATCAAATGGGTCACTCATGTCATCTTCACTTGATGATGATCCATCCTTCTTCTGTTATCCGCAGAAAATGAAATCCAGGAAAAAAATGAGTAGTTGTATCCAGAGATTAGTTATGTCGGGATAAGTTATATTGTGATTAGTTATGTTGAGACAATTGGCAGTGCCACATTCAAACAAGGGGTGTCAATCGATACCTCTTCGTCGAAAAATTACAATGTATTGCTAAATGAATTTCTCTATTTTATGTATATTTATTATATGTTGACTCCCCTTAACTTTTCGGTATATCTAGGTTTTTATATTTTGATACCCCTTGGTGAAAATTCTAGCTCTGCCACTGGTTGAGACTAATTATTCTAGTATTATTTCTTATTGATTGTTTGATATGTTGTTTTAATCCTAAGATTGTAAATTTTACTGTTTTATCTTGGGATTACTAGTGCATACTTTGGTGGGTATAAGTTATGACGATAATGTTTAATCCTAGAATAACTTATCCCAAGATTAGTAACCAAACAAGGGATAAGGCGGTAATACTAAATTTTTATCCCATGATTATTTTTGTTTAACCATCGTACCAAACGACCCCTTAATATGATTAGCAAGTTATTTCCACTTATTTTCCAGGTTATCAGATGGTGCTTGCTGTAATTAACAGTACTTATTGTTGCAGATAACTTAACGTGGTGATATTAGAATATTACTCCTATATGGTATTGTCACTAAACAGAAATTAAAAACAAACAGGTTGAATACTTCATTGTAAAATTATTCAGAATCTTTGATATATCTAAGTATCTTAATTCTTAGTGCACCCTTTTTTCCACTGTATCACGCCTTAATTTATTCTCTAACATGAAAAAAATATACTTTATTGCCGCTCAAGCAAAGTCCTCTAATTTGTTGTTCATTTTTTTTAGGTTAATTCATCATTTTTGTACCCACCGTTATGCACATTCACATTTTAACATTATGAATTTCAATATACACAGGTAGGAAAACAATTTCCCTGCCCTATGTATACAAAATACATCAAGCTTAGTTACACTCTAGAAATTAAAGTTGTAGCGGACTAGACTAACTACATTGGTTTCAACTGAATCCATCCTATTTTAGATTCAGACCATAGTTTTATGAGGATTTTTCAGAAATCACTATTTTTAGTGGCTATTAACTTTCTATATCTATCATATATATAATTACTTCCTATAGCTATTATTAAGTTGTTACGGTAGTGTATTCGTTGTATTACAATAGCAAAAAGCGCCTAAAAATCAGGGCAGTCCAGCTGTACGCGCATGTATTCACATGTATTCGCGCCATGTATTCATGAATACAACAGCAAAAAGCGCCTAAAAATCAGGGCAGTCCAGCTGTACGCGCATGTATTCACATGTATTCGCGCCATGTATTCATGAATACAACAGCAAAAAGCGCCTAAAAATCAGGGCAGTCCAGCTGTACGCGCATGTATTCACATGTATTCGCGCCATGTATTCATGAATACAACAGCAAAAAGCGCCTAAAATTAGGGCAGTCCAACTGTACACACATGTATTCGCGCTGCTGTATTCATGAATACATCAGTAAAAAGCGCCTAAAATCAGGATAGTCTAGTTGTACGCGCATGTATTCACATATATTCGTGCCATGTATTCATGAATACAATAATGACAATCACCTTAAAAATAGGTATGTCTAGCTATCTAAGAGAGAAGAAAACATAAATAGCGTATTTCATGCCTCAATGGTAGTATATACCATAAATACTTATTTTGCTACAAAATATAAAAGGTAACTATAGAAAATAATATTTTAAAATCATTTTAGTTTATAACAAATAGGGTGTATACTTTTCTATAGGAGGTAAAAGTTCCTAGTTTTATATTCAAACCATTAAAACCAAAGACGGATCCAGGATTTGAATTTTATGGGTTCAACCTTTAAGGTTTTTAGCATTGAACCCATTGCGTATTTGAATCATGGGTTCATATCTACTACTCATTGTTATAATTTCAATGAATTTTTACACATAAATTTATGTTCAGCATCAAAAGTACTGGATTTAGTTAAACCCGGTACCTATATATTACATCCGGCTCTGATTAAAACAATAATAAATATTATATTTTGAATCCACTTAGTATAACTAAAATAATTAAGTAAAAATGTAATTTGAATTCTGCTATATGTAGTCAAATAACATGTAATTAAATTTGCTATACTATAACATAAAGTGAAGAAGGGAAATGGACCTGTTTAAGCTTCTTAGCAGAGTAGAGCTCTCCAGCAAGAACTCTTTCTCCGAATAACATGACTGCCTCTTTTACTGAACTAAATGGAGCACTCGTATCGATCTCCGCGTTCACAAACATCGTTACTCCTCCTCCTAATCCTGTCGTATTTTCCATTATCAGTTTCAGCACTGTTATCCGACGAATAATGTTATGTTATGTTATGTTTGTTGAAGGAGGGACTGACTATAAAAGAGGAACCAAAGAAGATGGAGAAGTGGAGCTTCGTTTCTTCACGTCCACTTCACTTGAATTATTCTGTCATGGATCGGATCCAGCTCTTTCTTTTGGTAAAATATAGAGTTGATTCAAGCAGAAGCTCTAGCAATTTGGGCTGGATTTTATGGGCCATTTTCTCTGGTTTCCATTTTGGTAGACCTACTTTGATTTGGTGATTTACGCAAATGTCCATTTTAGTCCATCACTTTGATTTGGTGATTTACGGAAATTTATACAAATGTACCAAATAAGTTTCAACTTATCAACCTCTAGTCATTAGTCATAGACTTAGCAAAACTAGTCAAACGCATATAAAAATTGAAAAACCAAATAAATAAGGTTCTTTCTCTCAAAGAATTACATGCAAAAATTTCCTTCCATATTTTAAAATGTGATTAGCAACATTAGATTTAAGACGGAAAGGAAAATTTTCAATTCCAGAAAAATGAGGTAGTAAATAAGGTGATGCAATACAAAAAAAATGCAATATTCCAAAAATAGAAGCAAAAAATAACTTTTTCAATGGGTATAGTTAAAATTTATTGAAAACATATAGATAAGTCAATATACAAAATTTGAGGAAGATTGGAGGTGATTTGGACTGGTTGTGTATCAAAATTCGTAATTAAATTGAGTTCAAAAAAATCTTTCTGCGACAATATATCAAACATGTATCACGCATGTATCTCACATACAACTATACATGGATATACATGTGATACACAATTGATACAAATGTGATACATAATTGATACATAGTGTGATGCACATATCATTTTCTTTCATGTTCAGTTTTTACTTCGAATTTTTAATCCAAGCCACCTCAAAACTTCACTAAATCATCCCAAAACTGAGATACAAGCTCCTTAAGATGTACCCAATCTATTCTAATAACACTCACTCAAAAAAAAAAAGCAAAAATAGATATATTTTGCTACAAATAGCTAATTGGCTAATATTAATAATATTTTATAAATTGGCCAATTTTTATAATAAGCTACTTATAAATGGACATAATTGGTAGTTTCCCTTGATTTGGTGATTTTTGCAAATGTCCATTTTAGTCCATCATTTAGAGTTTGTCCATATTTTAAAAGTTGTGCAAATATAGCCCTTGATAAATTATTCTTTCAGACAATGTTAGACTCGAGGCTAATGTTAGCTCATATATTATTCAACCTTACAGACAAAATATTAGACCATGGTCTAACGTTTCACATAAGATTTTTAGTTTGCTCAACAAAGATCTTTAGACCAGGATCCAAAAGGTCCATAAGTTGGGAAAAAAAAGAAGATAATATCAACTATTCCAAAAAGGGACGACCCACGAAAATTTCTGCCGAAGAGGACATTTTAGCTGGCCACCCAACCAGTTAAATTGAAAATAGTCGATGAATGTATAATATATACATAATTTATATATTATATGTGTATAATTATATATAATCTATATATATAGCTAAAAAAATTAAATAATATATGTGATCGGCTATTTGTTTAAAGATCCCTTTCAATAATTCAAATACTATTCTAATTGTATTTATCCACAATGCTGAGAACATACAGTGCAGCAAGTCAAACAAGTCATGAGAAGAACATTTGAAACTCCGACACAAACCAAAAGCAAACAAAAAATGTGAAAATCTAAGCACAGCTACTTCTCTTGCGTCAACATCGTCTTCTCCGTCAGTTCTGTAGCTTTACAGCCACAACCACAATCCCCATAATTTACTCCTACGGAAAAAAACGTAAGAGCCAAACAGAAATTAAATATTAACCAAACAAAAGGTTGTTTAAGTAAGCATTAACCTTATTTATATGAGGAAAATCTATTAACCTTAATGTATATATTAAGAGAATCGTCCAACTACTTTCTTTCTTTTCCAAAAATTTTATTAGTCAAATATAATGTTGTTCCCTTTACCCTTTTAGATAAAATTAGTATTAGTACCCACGCCATGCGCGGACACAAATTATGTCAAATTATAATCTAGGTTGTTTGAATCATGTGCAAATAACCTTAAAATATAAACCTTTCATATAAAAATTATATAACATTAGACATTAATTTTGAAGCAAGATATGAAATTATTATTCAAATCTCGTAGTAGACAACTTTTATTTTATTTGTAGCAACCTAATCCCTTGATTTTAGTACTTGTATTTCTACTAAATATGTCATGTTGTGATTTGTGTTGTTTGAACACATTATATCATATTATTTTAAGAAAATTCTTACTGTCACTTTGTTTTTGACTGAAAGTCAAATATGTCTTATTCATCATATTATTTATGCAAATTCTTTTTTATTTTGTTCTTTTCTTATAGTTATTGTATTATTTATTATTTAATATTATTATACTGTCATATAATTTTTATTAGATTAATAATTTAATTAATATCTTGCTTATTATTTTTATAATAGTCTTTAATAAATATAAATATTTTATTCTTGAAATTTGGTATATTTTTATGCTTGTATCCTCTTATTCGGAATTTTTTAATCATTTAAATTAATTAGCAATATTTTTAAATATAATTTAATTAATTTATTTATTTATTTTTCAATTAATTTAAAGTATAAATCACACTAGCTTTATTTTTTTATACATTTCTTCCCTACTATATTTTAAATAGTTTTTAAATTAATATTTATCTATAACCAAAATAATATCATATTTTATTTTAAATTATAACTTTAAATTACTCTAAAATATTAATACATAAGTTATTTGATTATTATGTTCCAAATATATTGAGCTCTCTTATAATTATTTTTGTATTAGATGCAGTTAATTTTTTTTTTAGCTTTAAGATACAAATTTAATTTTTAATTATCATTAGTAAAATTTCCTATATTAGAAATTAATTTATATTTTTACAATTTTAATTTAATCATAGAAAAATATTTCTTAATTATTTGATCACATTATATCTAAATATTGTAGTAATATTTTTACTGTTTTATTTCCTTACATGATATTTTCAAAAATTAAAAAAAAATTAATGAAATAAAAAAAATCTCATCTTAAATTTAAATAATTCTTATCATTCTATGTTGTAAATTGGACCGCATTTTCAAAATATTATGCTATGCTTTCAAACTTAAACTAACAGCACTCAATTCAGATACTAATTATAGGAAAATATTTTCTTAATTGTTTGAACACATTATATCTAAATGTTGTAGTAATATTTTCATTGTCATTTTATTTCTTTGCGTAAATTTTTTTCTTTTTTAGTTTTAAGATTCAAATTTAATTTCTAATTTTCATTAGTACCTATATTATGTATTTTAAAATTTTATTTTATTTTTTTATTTTTCATAAATAAGACTTCAATTTCGTGGTATTCTCCATAGTATGAGCATTCTCATCATAGTTTTAAGAACTTTCTAATCTCAAATTCAAATAGTCTTTCCTTTTCTTTCTAATAGTATATTTTTAATAATTTAATATAATTTTGCTATTTTTTAATCTAATATATAGTTTTATTACGTTTTATGTGGCTTTTCATTAATTTGTAACTTTATTTAATATCATTATCACTACTATTCTTTATATAATATAGATAAATATATATAAATTTTTGTAATCATAAAATAAATATTTATTTTGTTTTAAAAATATTTCTCGAAAATTTTAAATTTTTTAAGTTTTAATAATATTTTTAAGTGTTGTCTATTTACATTTATTGATTTACAAATTTCCTCACATTATCTCTAATTTATTTTTATTATTCAATATTTTAGTTTTTCAATTTATCTATTAGACTTGAGTTATGTGGACTTATCCATATTATGACTTTTCTTATCATAATATAAAAACTTTCTCATCTCAAATTTAAATAAATTTTACCCTTTTCTCTATGATAAAAAATTTGAATTTTTATTTTTTCTCTATTTATTAATATATATAAATTTTTGTAATCATAAAATAAATATTTATATTATTTTTAAAATATTTCTCGAAATAAGTATTGTATATTTACATTTATTTTATTTTCTAAACTTATGATTTACAAATTTCCCCACATTATCTCTAATTTATTATTTTAGTTTTTAATTTTATCTATTAGACTTGACTTATGTGGACTTATCCATATTATGACTTTTCTTATCAACAACAACAACAACAACCCAGTGTAATCCCACAAGTGGGGTATGGGAAAGGTAATATGTACGCAGACCTTACCTCTACCCCGAGGGGCAGAGAGGCTGTTTTCAGGAGACCCTATGACTTTTCTTATCATAATATAGAAATTTTCTCATCTCAAATTTAAATAAGTTTTATCCCTTTTCTCTATGATAAAAAATCTGAATTTTAATGGTTTCTCTATTTATTATTTATTTTTAATATTATATTATTCAATAACTAATATTATTACATTGTCATGTGAATTTTTATTAGCTTGTTTGATTTTAATATCCATTTCTACCACACTCATTCTAATATAATATTGATAAAAATTTAAAAACTTTCTCATCTCAAATTCAAATAATTTTTATCATTCTATTTTCTAATTTTGACCGCATTTTAAAAAAGTATGTTATGCTTTCAAATTTAAACTAACTGCACTCAATTCAAATATTAATCATAGAAAAATATTTTCTTAATTATTTGAACACATTATATCTAAATGTTGCAGTAATATCTATATCTATATCTATATTATATTAAAAGGAGAGTAGTGAAGCATGACATTAAGCCAAGTGATGTATTGATAAAATGCTACTTGGCACTTTTAGGATAAAAATTTGAGAAAAATTTAATGAGAATCTATATAAAGATTTTGAATTGATAATCTAAATCTTTTCATTGAAATTTCGAAATGGTAACTTTGGACCATAAAAAGAAAGGAGCTTATTTTATGGAATCTGTTTGCTTGTACATTGGATGAAATTTTATGGAATCTGTCTGCATGTACATTTATTAATTGGATTTTC